TTCAATATAATTTTTTGTATTTTCCCTTACAAACTATTCTTCAAATGATCATTTCAGATCATTCAAAATATCTAAATAAAAGATATGGCTTCTAAATATTAATGGAGAAATTTGAGGGGAAAATGAGGCCAAAATCTCTCTCAAATCTGGCTAATCTATAATGAAAACAAAAAAAAGGAAGTTGATTGCAAAAATTTTGTTTTAGGTGAATTGTCCTTTGATCGACTACTGGAATAGCATCAACAAAAGGCTTACTGAATCATAAAAGTAATTATGATGAGAAATATTCGATATGAGTAAATATGGGGGAAATGAATCAAGCCTAGATGGATTTGCAGAAATTTGAGAAAAGCTACAGCACATTGAAAGAGTCTGGATTGTGGCAAAAGAACTTCTTTACAAAGCAATAAGTATTTAAAAGTGTCTCTGGGGTAACTGTTATCCTCCAAAATCCTAATTTTCGAAAATTCAAGTTTTCAAAGATTTATCTGTAGGTTTTCTGTAAGTCACTCTTTTTTCTGTTGTCTGTTAGTCTTTCTGTTTTTCTGTTTTCTGTCTGTAGGTTGTCTGTAAGTCACTCTTTTAGTCTATATGTCGTAGCCGATTATGAATTTCAGCCGATTATGAATTTCAGCCGATTATGAATTTCAGCCGCTTATGAATGAGTGGGATCTAGGCGCGTCCAACAATCAAGCGTTTGGTATCATTCAACGCAGAACCATTGATAATTATGTTCAATTTTTGAAATTAGAAAGATTAGATAAAAAGAAAAGAATTTACGGGGCTTCAAAGTTTTCTCTCAAAAACAAACAGCTTTTTTTTGGCCCTAATTTTTTCTCTTTTTATCTAATCTTTCTAATTTCAAAAATTGAACATAATTATCAATGATTCTGCATTGAATGATACGAAACACTTGATGGTTGGACGTGCCTAGACCCCACTCATTCATTGATTTCAATATGGTACAGATTTGGTTGATTCATTATTGATTCATTATTAATTTATTATTCATTCATTATTCATTCATTATTCATTCATTATTCATTCATAATCGATTCATTATTCATTCATTATTCATTCATTATCCACTCATTATTCATTCATTATTCATTCATTATTCATTCATTATTCTTTCATTATCCATTTCATAATCGACTGAAATTCATCATCGGCTACGAAATAAGAATTTTTTAAATCTCACAGATAATTTCTCTAAATAATATAGTCGATAAAATTGTGCTTTTGAATTTAGGTCAACATTTTTTTTACTTGCTAATTTCTTATTTCCAATCTTTACACTGTATAGATAAGTTTCCATTCCACTTTATCACTTCTTAAGCTTCCGAAAAAGCGCATTCTCTAAAAGAAATTTCCCTTCTTTTTCTTTCAAAAATTCTCTTGAGATTTCGTTTTTCTTAATTTGTTTGCAGAATCATATCGAAATTATGTTCTTTATTTAAAATTTGGAGAATTTTCGAGTGAAGAGGATTTCCCAAGGGATTTCTCTTGATTGATTCGATTGTTTGAAATTGTGTGAAATGCTAAAATTGAGATTTAGGTTTTTGGGGGATTTCTGGAAAGAAAATGCGGGGAAAGTGTTCGAATTGGAGGAAAATAGAGGGAAACGATTATAGGAGATGAAAAATGGGGGAAATGAAGAAAGCTTACAAAGGTTTTTCGACGAGAACAATTTGAGATGGAACACGAACAAGAAAACGATCCGTTATTTTAGCTAAATGTACTGCAAGCTTCAATTTGAAGCTGTTTTAGCAGTGATTAAAGTAGATCGGTTCATCAATGATTGGTATCAATGATTTGTCAGGCTTGAGATCGACTTTTCAGGCCGATTTCAACCTTGAGGATCCAAGCAGAGAATCCGTTTAAAGGCATGTCGAATTTGTCGAAAAATGGAGCCAAAATTTTTGAGCATACTGGGGCCGAGAAAGCAAGGGAGGGCTCAGTTGACGGATAAGAAAAAAAGCAAAAAGCGAAGCCCCTTACCCCAGACCCGTATGCCAGATGGAGAGCGATTGTGCACGCGCACAAGGAGCACCCCGTCCGTCAAGAAATTCAGCTGTAAATTTGTACCCTTGAGTTTACGGAGTCGCGAATCGATTGAAGCTATATATTTTATTGAGTCTACGAGCTTGAAACTATTGGAACAATTGGATAAACCCATCTACTTTAATCATTTCCACATAAAATCTCATCAAGAACATCAAGAACATCAAGAACATCAAGATCCGATTGGAATCGGTTTTTTTTGAGTTTCTGATGCTGCCATCTCTTCAACGGTTAAATAAAACAGATAATCTTCAACTTAACTAATAAATATAATTGTTGATGAGTTTCTAAAAAGTGACCAAAACTTCAACTTTTCGGTCAGCGTTCAAAAATCGAAATTCCCGGGGGTATTGGCTTCGAAAAACTCCCTGGGGATCGATAAGTGTAAAAATAAAAAGATAAAAGGGCTAAAAAGCTATATGATGAAGATTTTAATGGAGAAAAGAGAAATATCAAATTCATGATCTGAAATAAGGAAGGCTTTTGCTTTTGCAGAAAAGACATTATCAAGACATTAAAGTGCAAAAGAAAAGAAAGGGATCTCGATTTTTTTTCTTTTGAACCTTTTTTTGAACCTTTTTGAACCAGTTTCCATTTTGGGGAAAAGACAAAAAAAGCGACACACTTCCGGCATTCAACTATCATTTTTCAAAAAAAGAGTCTTATAAAACCCTCAATTCTTTTTCGTTTAGAGAATGGCTACGCAAAGATTCATCTCTTCATCTTTAAGCTTTAAGTTTATACATGAACTTTGTGCTCTCACAAACAAGCGCTTGCTGGTGTAAATCAGAAAGAAAAGAAAAGTAAAATCGTTTAAAGAATGAAATAAAATGAAATGAAATGAAATAAAATGAAATAAAATGAAATAAAATGAAATAAAATAAAATGAAATAAAATGAAATAAAATGAAATGAAATGAAATAAAATGAAATAAAATGAAATAAAATGAAATAAAATGAAATAAAATGAAATAAAATGAAATAAAATGAAATGAAATAAAATGAAATGAAATGAAATAAAATGAAATAAAATGAAATGAAATAAAATAAAATGAAATGAAATGAAATAAAATGAAATAAAATAAAATAAAATGAAATAAAATGAAATAAAATGAAATAAAATGAAATAAAATGAAATGAAATAAATGAAATGAAATGAAATAAAATGAAATAAAATGAAATGAAATAAAATAAAATGAAATGAAATGAAATAAAATGAAATAAAATAAAATGAAATGAAATGAAATAAAATAAAATAAAATGAAATGAAATGAAATAAAATGAAATAAAATGAAATAAAATGAAATAAAATGAAATAAAATGAAATAAAATGAAAACCTCAATTCCTTCCCCTTTAGAAATGGCTAAAAAAGGATAAACCTCTTTAACTTTAAGCTCATTTTATGCGTGAACTTTGTGCTCTCATAAACGAGCGCTTGTTGACCGAATAAAGAATAAATTAAAAAGAAAGAAAGAAAGAAAGAAAGAAAGAAAGAAAGAAAGAAGAGAAAATAAAAGAAAAGAAGAATCTTTTTTAAAAAATGAATCTCAAAGATCAATCTTTGCAAGTAGAAGTAGAAGAAAGCAAAAAGAAAATGAAAAGAAAATGAAAAAATGCAATTTGATCTGAAACTCTTGAGGAAAGAAAGTCGATAAAATTTGAAGAAACATTTTTAAAAGGTTTATTCTTTTCAATTATACCTTTTAGGAGTCAAAATTTCTTCTGAAAACTTTCCCAGTCATATTTTTAGGAGAATTTATTGACACGCAATGCGTACGCTCAAAAACGTATGCTCAAAAACGTATGCTCAAAAAAAAATTAGCTTCAAACAGAAGAAAATATAATATAATATAGTTGTTTTTGTTGGTGACAAAGAATTCTACAAGAAGTAACCAATGATTAGGTTAATTTCAAGTAATCAATCGTTCAAGTAATTAAGTAATTATATTGTAATTATATTGAGTGCCTTTTACGGCGTATTGAAACATCTAGAACTAAACATAAATCATTTCAAATAATCGTCATTCTTTTCTACGCATTGAGCTCATTTTATTAGTGAAAATCTCTCTTATATCAGTGATTCTGATAGATTGAAATCATTTGGTTATGAAACGTTACACCAACGCCGCCTTATCATTGATGGAATGCTTTAAAATATCATTAGTGGAATGCTTATCATTAGTGGAATGCTTATCATTAGTGGAATGCTTTAAAATTGTTAAAGGCATTCATCCCGACCATTCATCCCTTTTTTTTCTGGTTTCTTTGAATTTGGCTCTCTACGTGGCGCCTCCAGAAGAGGGCCTTTCCACAGACGCCAACCTTCTGTTTCCTCTAAAAGCTCCCACAGTTTCTTTTTTAATCAAGTTATTAAATTGTGGAACCTTTCATTCGTGATATTCCTCTGTCTACTAGAGCTGTCTACTAGATCATCTACTAGATCATCTACTAGATCTGTCTACTAGAGCTGTCTACTAGATCATCTACTAGATCATCTACTAGATCTGTCTACTAGAGCTGTCTACTAGATCATCTACTAGATCATCTACTAGATCTGTCTACTAGAGCTGTCTACTAGATCATCTACTAGATCATCTACTAGATCTGTCTACTAGAGCTGTCTACTAGATCATCTACTAGATCATCTACTAGATCTGTCTACTAGAGCTGTCTACTAGATCATCTACTAGATCTTTTTTTTTTTGTTTTAAACCCAAAGAATATAAAATATTCAAAAGCCAAAGCCATATTCAATAGCTAAAGTGATAAAGGGGAATTTCAAACAATACGAATGCGCGAACAGTTTACCTTTGCCAGATTACGGTTTGGCAAACTCATTGTGAGTAGGTAAATGTTTAAATATAGTTTATAAAAAATGTTTTTAGCATTTACTTTCAATAAATTTATAGATATAAACAAAAGAAAAGATCACTCACAACAGTCTCCGTCCATTCAGCAAGTGATGGCCGTCTTCCTCTAGACATTCCTCTGCCGGATGAAGATATTGTCGACATCATTTCTTCGCTTAAAATTGATGAATTCGGAGGATGATGATTGGAAAATGAAGCGAGAACCTCTTCCTGAAACATTTTTGGGTTTTCATTTTTGAGAAACATTATAGAGGATCTGCTTGTCTTTGTTTAAAGTCTTTGTCTTCTTGTCTTCTACGTCTTGTATTCATTTTGCTCATTTTGTATCAACTCTAACTGATCGCAAATCATTTTGTTGCATTTACACCTCAGTCATCGTATGCCAGAGAGCAAAAAGTGTTAAAGAAGTTTTCAAAGATTTCAAATTACTCTTCTGGATTTCAAAGCACTTCTGGATCAAAGCCAGAAGAGTTTAATTATCAATTGAAAGCTTTTTCCAATCTTATAACTATAACATCAAATAGCTGGGTGGATCAAACCTGTTGAATCACAGGTAATGACGGTCGGCGACGATCCGATTTTCGGCGACTCTCCGCCAATGAGCTGAAAAGTTAATTTGAAACTTTTTTTTTCCTTTAAAATAAGAGTTATTATTTTGTTTAAACTCACAAAGCACAACTACTTCTGCGCAACGAGAAAACATTCATAACAGCTTTAGGGAAAAGAAGAAGATTCTTTCCACTTTCTTCTTTCAAAGAATTTAATGATAAACGAGATGGAGATGTCATTTTGAAGGTACTGTATAGTAAATAGAGGAAGATAGTAAAATGAGTACTGTACTGTATAGTAAATAGAGGAAGATGGTAAAATGAGTACTATACTGTATAGTAAATAGAGGAAGATGGTAAAATGAGTACTGTACTGTATAGTAAAATGTATAGTAAGGTTTGAAGGTACTGTATAGTACTTTTGAAGGTACTGTATAGTACTTTTGAAGGTACTGTATAGTAAATAGAGGAAGATAGAGATCTTTGTTTTAAGAAACAAGAATGAAATGGAATCGAATGGAATCGAATGGAATCGAATGGAATAGAATCGAATGGAATAGAATAGAATGGGATGGAATAGAATAAAATAGAATAAGACAAGGAAAAGAAAGCTGAAAAGAAAGCTGAAAGATAGGGTCAGATCCAAACTAATTACTATTGCAAACAAAAAAAAAAAAAAAGAATTCGAATTTTATGAGTTTGATTCCAAAGTGAAGACGAATTTGAGGGTTTCTTTCTTAAAATTTGATGAATGTATCAAGAATTGAAGTCAACAGAAAATTGAGGCAATTGCGGCAATTGAGGCAAATTTCAATAATGGGAAAGAGAATTTGGGGATGAAATAACAGCTTTAGATGATGAAGTTTCAATCAATGCCGAATAGGTGAACCAAATAGTGGTTTGAGTGTCGAGTTCCAGAAACTAGTTGATAGATAAATAGGGAAATTTTCGTGAATTCGATTCTCTTGAAGTCATAAATGATAAGGGAAGATTTTGTGTGGCGTTGAATGGCAAATTGAGAGAGGAGAAAGCGCTTGAAATTCGAAGAAAAGCAAAAAAAAAGGGAAGAAGGGAAGAAGGGAAGTCAAAGGGTATTCCTTTTAGAACATCGAGAAGACCCATGGGAGCCGAGATCCTTTCCACATTCTCTTTCTTTTCTCTTCAAAATCTTTCTTTCTTTCTTTCTTTCTTCCTTTCTTTCTTTCTTTCTTCCTTTCTTTCTTTTTTTTCTTTTTTCTTTCTTTCTTTCTTTCTTTCCTTCTCTCTTTCTTTCTCTCTCTCTCTTTCCTTTCTTTCTTCTTTCATCCAAATTTCAAAGCTTTTCCTCATCCTTTTCTTCCGCATAACGTGATCGGTGCGCGGGAAATTTGGATTCCCAAAAAGAATTGAGAAATGAGAGGTGAAGATCGAAGACTTTTCCCTTGAATTCAATCGAAATTTAACCTAAAAATCTTCCTCAAATCTTTCTCGATTCACTTTTTCTTACTTTTACCTCGATTTTCTCCCTTTTACATAAAAAAATGAAAGGTTTTTAGAGAAATCGGCATGGAAAATGATGGATTGGGGAATTGTTTTGACTGCCAGGTTTTCATCATTTTTCTGTTTTTCCTTGAAATTTGAGAAGATGATGTGAAAATGCATGATTTGTCGTATTTTGGAGAAATTTCGATTGATCATTCGATTCGAAAAACATGATCATCCGTTTTAACATGATCATCCGTTGTAGCATGATGATCCGTTTTAGCATGATGATCCGTTTTAACATGATGATCCGTTTTAGCATGATGATCCGTTTTAACATGATGATCCGTTTTAGCATGATAACCCGTTTTAACATGATCATCCGTTTTAACATGATCATCCGTTTTAGCATGATGATCCGTTTTAGCATGATGATCCGTTTTAACATGATAACCCGTTTTAACATGATAACCCGTTTTAACATGATAACCCGTTTTAACATGATAACCCGTTTTAACATGATAACCCGTTTTAACATGATAACCCGTTTTAACATGATCATCCGTTTTCTCTTTCTGGACCGATAAACGCTAGTCTTCTAGCGAAATCAAGATTTTCTTGATGTCACTAAGAAAATAAGTTCGCCAGAAAAAATCGAAAAGCATGCACAAAATTTGAAAACTATTTTGCATTGATCGTTTGCTCGAATAAACGAATCCCTTCTGGCAAAGCAGTTTCACTATAAAAAGCACGTTAATTATCGATCATTTATCTAGATTTCCTTTAGCCTAAAAGACTTCAAATCCTTCTCGATTTTCATCGACTTGGTTGAAATTTTAATTTTCTCAAACATTACAAAGCTCATATAAATGCGGAGAATCGTAAAAATGGTTAAAAATGGTTAAAAATTATTGTAAAGGTTGAGAGAATTGGGAGAAAGGGAAAAGTGAGGCAGTTTAGAGTAAACACATTCTAGAAACATTCTAGAAACATTCTAGAAACATTCTAGAAAAACATTCTAGACAAATTCTAGAAACAAAGTATCCTTTCTTTCTTTCTTTCTTTCTTTCTTTCTTTCTTTCTTTCTTTCTTTCTTTCTTTCTTTCTTTCTTTCTTTCTTTCTTTCTTTCTTTCTTTCTTTCTTTCTTTCTTTCTTTCTTTCTTTCTTTCTTTCTTTCTTTCTTTCTTTCTTTAAAATGAAACTAAAAACGATGAGTATTCACGGATTTCTAATAGACAATCATCTTTTTATTTAAAAAGAATCATGAAAACAAGGCTGGATCGCGTGTCAAATTCACATAAAATTCCATGAGGTTTAAATACGGAAAAGGCTTGTGAAACGGAAAAGGCTTGTGAAAAGGGAAAGGGAAATCGTTTCATTTGGTGGTAATTTCCAGAAGATCGTCTCATTTGCGAATTCGTGAAGAAAAAAGAAAAGGGGAACAGATGGTCGAAATTGAATGCAGTGGACATTGTTTATCGGACAATTTGATAAGCAAACAAAAATTAGAGATTGTGCTACTCTTGTTTAATGTAAAGGTGTCTATATTTTGGAGAACTAATGCAAAGGGCAATTTCTATTTGATGTTATAGTTATAAGATTGGAAAAAGCTTTCAATTGATAATTAAACCCTTCTGGATTTGATCCAGAAGTGCTTTGAAATCCAGAAGAGTAATTTGAAATCTTTGAAAACCCTCTTTGAAAACTAATGCAAAAGGCAATTTCATTAGATCATCCCAATTTTTGTCACATTGACTAAGTCATTTGATTTGATATTTGATGAGGATCAAATATCACCAAAATCGAGCTGATCAAATGAAAAACTCGTTACAATAGTTCTCGAAACTAAAACTAAACTAGTTACAATAGTTCTCGAAACTATTAGGTTGGCAAGTTATAAACGATCGTTTTTTGGTAATGTGTTTTCTGAAAAAACGGCTTATCCAATCAAAAAACGGTTTAGGATGATCTAATGAAATTGCCCTTTGCATTAGTTCTCCAAAATATAGACACCTTTACATTAAGCAAGAGTAGCACAATCTCTAATTTGATTCAAAAGCCCTATCCTTAATCTACAAAATGGCTTTTTTGAATTTTTGAAAAATCTTTTATTTTAGAAATTTTTCAGGCATTTTAATGTAAGAGTTGAAAATGCTGTTTTCTAGCATTCATGAGCTATTAGATTTTTGAGCTATTTTTGAGCTATTTTTGAGTGATTGCATACTTTTTAAAATAAAATGCTTCATCGGATTAAATAGTTTCCCAAAAAACGTTCAGAACAATCGAATCTTCGGAAGGTTGATTTTTAAATTAGGCTCAAAATGCACTTTTGTGCTAATTTAATCCATTTTCGTTTGAATTTAAGCAAGATTTCAAAAAAAAAAGATTAAAAAAAGATTAAAAGAAAGAGAACGGTTCGATCGATTCGATTTTTCTGAACGTTTTTGGGAAACTATGTAATCCGATGAAGCGTTTTGATTTTTAAAAGTATTCAATCACTCAAAAATAGCTCAAAAATCTAATAGCTCATGAATGCTAGAAACCAGCATTTTCAACTCTTACATTAAAATGCCGGAAAAAGTTCTAAAATAAAAGATTTTTCAAAAATTCAAAAAAACCAATTTTGTAGATTAAGGATAGGGCTTTGAATTAAGCAAACCGTTTTTTGATTGGATAAGCCGTTTTTTCAGAAAACACATTACCAAAAAACGATCGTTTATAACATGCCAACCTAATAAAAGCTTAAATGGCTTTGATTTCTAAACTAAATTCCTTTTAGAAAAGCGTAAATGTCTTTGATTTTCTATCGTAATTCATTAAAGAAAAAAAGCTACAATAAGATTCTTTGAAGAAGATTTCTGTAAACAAAAGAATGTAGCCACTGATTTATGGATATGAAAGCAAAAAAAGGAACCATATTGGAACCGAGTTCCTGGCAGGAACCATATTGGAACCGAGTTCCTGGAAGGAACCATATTGGAACCATATTGGAACCATATTGGAACCATATTGGAACCATATTGGAACCATATTGGAACCATATTGGAACCATATTGGAATCATATTGGAATCATATTGGAATCATATTGGAATCATATTGGAATCATATTGGAATCATATTGGAAAAAACCAAAAGACAAGATCATACGTTGAATTCCTTTAGTTTCACAAGGAAATTGTTTTGCAAAAGTTGCAAAAGTTTCCCGATTGCCAATAATGGACACACTTTAGCATTTTCAAGTGCAAATCTTTACGAAACCGGTTTAATTTTGCAAAAATGGAACTTCAAAATTGCAAAAAAAAAATGGATGGCACTTAAGGAGAAAAAGAAATCGCAAAGGAATTTGCATAGATGAGGGGAAAATTTGCATTTAGCCGGTTTGAAGAATGGGGGAAAAAGGGGGAGAAAAGGCAGATCTGTAAAACAGAAAGATCTCCTGAAAAGAGAAAAGATCTCCTGATAGCCACGAAAGGCATTTCAAATCGGAAAATCGAGTGAATTTCGGTTTACGATGAGGAATTTGTCGAATGCACCTTCTGAGACGTTCAAAAAAATTCGAAAATGAAGAAAATCCGCTTCATAATGGGAAAATCGCCATAGTGCGTACTAATGACGTATAGTTTCTTTGGATCTTCACCAAATTATTTGTAAAACAGTAACGACTACGCGGCTGTACGTCGAAAATAGCTGTAATAAACGAGTTTGTTTAACGCTTATCAACTATTTCAGCTTATATCGGATTGGTGAATTGAAAACTGCGGGCTATTGTCATATGTGACAGTTTGAGCACTTTCCTCAAAAGAAACCCATTTTGGTGTCAATGGAAAAGTTGTAGAGAATCAAAAATCAAGCTTATATCCAAATTTTCAGAACGATTCAAAAACTGGTTTTCAAGAAATGCCAAATTTACGAATTTTCACCAAAATTTGCATTTTAAGCGAAACTACTGAGTGTATCTTTTTGGAAATTTGGATATAAGCTTCATTTTTGATTCTCTACAACTTTTCCATTGACACCAAAATGGGTTTCTTTTGTAGAAAGTGCTCAAACTGAGACATCGGACATCTCCAGTCCTCGATTTTTGAGTCTCACACTTGTCTCAGACACAAATCAAAACCCTACCACGAAAGAGGAATCCGCAAATTGCCTGTAAAATCGGCAGAAGTCGTCAATAATAATGGAAATTATTTGGAAGGAATTGATGGTTTTATGTTGAATAAATTTTAGTTCAAAATTGGAAATTTATGAAAATGTTGAAATCCGCATTTCTTATCCGGATTTCAACATTTTCATAAATAGCTCAGAGCTGATAAGCTGACTGGCTCAGCTGGCTTCACTTTCATAAATAGCTTAGTCTAATATCTCCGAGCTTATCGACGTCACTTTCATAAATAGCTTAGCCTAATATCTCAGTGCTTATCGGCTTAGCTTATTTAGCTTATTCAGCGTCAGTGAAATCAATGTAAAAACAAAAGACTTACCAACATTTGAAATATTCAGCCAGTTTTCAAATAAGAGTCAAAAATGAATAATTATTCGGGAAAAGTTTAAGAAGAAATCTCGACAGCTATCCACCGACATTTATCCATTAAATAAGAATTTCTTTTATAGAGAAAAATGAGAGAAAAATGAAAAGAAGTGCTTGTCCTTTGAAGTATTTACAATATTACATCAAAAGAAATCGAAAAGAATCAAATATTCGAGTATCTAAGATGAGTTTTGAAGAGTGATAGAAATTTGGGTAGATTGTAAATAGATTGTAAATTTGGGTAGATTGTAAACCGACCAATTTCTGCCGAGTGTCACTGTTGTCACGTATCGTTTCTCGTCTTTCGATTGGAAAACGTCTGAAATTTCTTTTTTGTTTTTTTTTCTTTATTTTAACAATTTCAATAAAAATAATGTTTACAAAATCTTTTTTTCAACTAGCAAATGAATTTCCCCCAAAGTTGAACTCTTTTGAACCAAAACCAAAGAACTCTTTTGTTCTTTTGAAGAGATTTAGAACAGGTAATTGAAGATTGAAGTTGGAATTCTCGAAAGAATTCGAAACTCGAAAGAAGAATTCGCAAATCATTTTTATAGTCACTTATCTCAAAAAAAAAAAGAAAAGAATCCACTTCAAAGAAATTGGATTTTTTTTTTTTGAGAAAAACATCCGAACAAATTTGATTTAAAGTACTTTAGTCGTTGAGAAATGGTTGAGATTTGGATTGGGATTGGTTAGATCATAGTTTTAAGGCTAAATAAAGCACAAACTTTGTGTGGCTCTTTGAGGCTAATTTTCTTTCTTCATTATCCTAATAACATTCGATCATTTCCTCATTTAAAACAACTCGAAAAATTCTATTCATTTTAATTCCATTCGATAATTTGATTGATTTTATATTTGATGTTTGGGATTTCGACAAATCAACGACAAATCCGATTCAAAGTAATTTGAGCGTTGAAGAAATGGTTGGGATCGGGATTGGGATTGGGATCGGGATTGGGATTGGGATCGGGATTGGGATTGGGATTGGGATCGGATTGGGATTGGGATTGGGATTGGGATTGGGATTGGGATTGGGATCGGATTGGGATCGGGGATTGGGATTGGGATTGGGATTGGGATTGGGATCGGGATTGGGATTGGGATCGGGATTGGGATTGGGATCGGGATTGGGATTGGGATTGGGATTGGGATTGGGATTGGGATTGGGATTGGGATCGGGATTGGGATCGGGATTGGGATTGGGATTGGGATTGGGATTGGGATTGGGATCGGGATTGGGATTGGGATCGGGATTGGGATTGGGATCGGGATTGGGATTGGGATTGGGATTGGTTAGATGATAGTTATAAAGCCAAAAAAAGCACAAATTCTGTGTGCTTTTTGAGGCAATTTTCTTTCTTTATCGTAATACCACTGAATTAATGCCAATCAATTAAAACAACAACAAATTGCAATCGGCTTTTCCATTTCTCTATTTCCAATTTGGACACTTTCATCACCAATCAGTTCAACAAAGGCTCGTCAATAGCGGTGAGCAAAATTCGAATGATATTCGACTTCAAAACGGACATGTAACTTGGCAAGTTTAAGAGAATTTTTATTCGTTTTTTATAATAAAGAGTGATCGCGAAACTTCTCAACTTTCGGAGCACCAACTTTGGAAAGAGCATGAAACTGTGGCTGAACTTGCGGAAGAGATCTTGCAGAAGATCCATAAGGTTAGAGATCTTCAATTTCTCTGGTTAGAGATCTTCAATTTCTTCGCGATAAGTGATTTTTGAGAAATTGGTGTCACATTCTCTGACCGACACTATGCAAAGGTAGACGTGAGAGAAATTTTTTTTCCATATTGTGACAGAGGACTACGGAGTATTATATTAGACAACAGAAAGCGTTGAGTCTGGTGAACAAACATCAGCATCAGTCTGGAGAACAAGCATAAGCCAAGGCCAGAGATGCATTAAAAGAGGTTCATCTGGTGGCATATCAAAGGAATTATTTACTGGGAATTCTTGAATGAAGAGAGGAGACTTATCACAATAAGTGATTCGTTGAAAAAAATCCACAAAGCAATCAAGGGAAAAGATTTGCTTTGAAAGGGTCCAACATGACACTGCTCACCAACATACTGAACTGAAAAACTGAATCGCTGACAAAGGCACAGACTTGGCTGGGACTACCTCTTACTCTCCTGAACTCCAGCTTACTCTCCTGAACTTTTTCCCTTTCGATTATCATTTATTTCATTTTGTAACGAGGTGCCAAAGACGAAATTGAGGTCAAAAATTCGTTAGAAATTTTCTTTTCGTTAAACTAAGGATTTTCTACAAAAAGTCTGCTAGTAAAATGAGTGAAAACCATCGAAAATCTTGATTCACTTTTATATTAAAGAAATTTGATTTTAAAAATAGTAGATTTATGAAATGTTCTTATAGATTATCGAATTAAATCAAAATGAAAGCTTTTTATGAAAGGCATTTTTGTGAAAAGCATTAATAATGATTCTAAATTGATTTGATAATAAAGAAAGAAATAAAGAAAGAAAGAAATAAAGAAAGAAAGAAAGAAAGAAATAAATAAAGAAAGAAAAAAAGAAATAAAGAAAAAAAGAAATTTCAAAAAATCGGAACACCTTTGGTGCAAGATTTGCAAATCAAATTTCTCTCAAATTTTGAGGCTTTTGGGGTTGATTTTTGAGAGTTTCTTGGCAAAAAAAAAAGAAAAAATTCACTGAAAGAACAAGACAAATATGTAAATTTGGAAAAAAAAAAAGATGGAGAAACTGATTGAATAGATGGACTCTTGAAAGGGGAAAAAAACTGACAAAGAGGACAAAAGATGTCAATTGGGAAATTTGTCCTATTTAAGGACAAATTTCCATTCAAAGGACAATTCCTTTGAATGGATAATCAAGATAATCAAAGATAATCAAAGAAAAAACGACAGAAATGGGGGAAATGTCGACTCGATTTAGTGACTTACCGTAAAAGTTGGTATTAGTTGAAATGATTGTGAAAAACAATCGTTTAGATCTTTTCTTTCAATCTTCTCTAACAATTTCACCTGAGTAAAGTTCAACTTTAAGGAAACTTTAAGGAAACATTCATTCAAATGTTTCATGTAAAAGAAATTTGGGAAATTTGGGAAATTTGGGGAAAGGCGGTGACCCTGTCTCTGCTCACCATTCCCACCCTTCCCCACCCCAATATGCATGCATAATTTCCTCTTCATCCCCCCAGCTATTCCCCCCATTTGGAGCGATTTATGGCCAACTCTAGGGAAAATCAATTCAAGCTTTCGGGAATCTCTCAATTTGATAAATGACTTTATTTGAAAAGTCGAGAATTAAGAAATGAAAGGATAAAGAGCGAATGAGTTGGGATTTTTTGTGTTATATTGTTACTTTAAAATAATATTAAACTAATAGAAATGAAGAAATGAAGATATGAAGAGATAGAAGTAGATAAAAGTAGATAGAAGTAGATAGAAGTGATAGAAGTAGATAGAAGATAAAAGATAAAAGATAAAAGTAGATACGAGTAGATACGAGTAGATAAAAGCCGATACAAGTAGATAAAAGCCGATACGAGTAGATAAAAGTAGATAAAAGTAGATAAAAGTAGATAAAAGTAGATAAAATATAAAAGATAAAAGCCGATACAAGTAGATAAAAGCTTTGAATTAAGTGATGGTGTATATGAAAGAAAACTGACCTTTTAATCTCCGATATCGTCCCGGTAAAGAAGCCATTTACAAAAATATTTGAAAGATATTAAGAAATATGCAAGCAAGAATGCGTGCCCTTATCTGTAAGTGGAAAGGAATGTTTGCTTGACCTTTGACACGAGAATTGAAAGGGGAAGACCAAGAAGAAGAGATCAGGAAGAAGAGATCAGGAAGAAGAGATCAAGAAGGGATCAAGAAGAAGAGAAGAAGAGGTTATTTAGGTAGGAATTTGAGAATTTGTAGATAGAATTTGAATCGAATATGGATAGAAAATGGATGAAAAGAAAGCTTGAAATGGGGAGGGCGGAAAGATGTGTCATAACCCTCCCTTTTCCCCTCTTTTCTCAAATTTCATCGACACGATAAGGTGATCGAAATGGCTCTTCGTGAATCGGGGAATTCTCATTTCGAGCCTTTCTTAAAGAGAGATCATAGACTGGATTCGATAAAGATATTCGAAAGAATAGCAAATCTTAATTGGGAACGGGTTTGCCGGCAATTTTCATCTAGCTCAGTATCTTTAAGTTTCTTTATAGCATATAGTTTGTTTCAAAATGTAGTTTGTTTGAAAGTTTGTTTGAAAGTTTGTTTGGAAAGTGCTTTTTTTTTGAAAGTTCAAATCTTTGTACTTGTAATATGGTAAACTCGAATTCTGTGAATTCAGGAAACTATTTCAGCTTTGAATTCAGCTTTGAATTCAGCTTTAAATTCAGCTTTAAATTCAGCTTTGAATTCAGCTTTAAATTCAGCTTTGAATTCAGCTTTAAATTCAGCTTTGAATTCAGCTTTGAATTCAGCTTTGAATTCAGCTTTAAATTCAGCTTTGAATTCAGCTTTGAACTCTTCTAGTATTTTGTATTCTCAAGCTTTTTTTGACTCTTATCTTTTAATCTTTTAAGGAACGGGTTTGCGGGAAAATTTTATCTAGCTCACAGTATTTTAAAGTTTCCTTTTACCATTCCATGTAGCTTCCTTTTACCATGTAGCTTCAAAAGTGTAGCTTCAGTGTAGCTATTTTAAAGCCGAATATTTATACTTGTTATACGATAAACTCGAATTCCCTACATTCAGCAAACTATGAGATTTGAATGGTGACTTTTCTAGAATTTGATTTTCTAGAAATTCTAGTTTCTAGAATTTGATTTTCTAGAAATTCTAGACTCTAGAATTTGATTTTCTAGAAATTCTAGATTCTAGAATTTGATTTTCTAGAAATTCTAGATTCTAGAATTTGATTTTCTAGCTTTTTCTCAAGCTTTTTAACTTTTATCTTTTATCTTTTACTAATCCAAATTCAAGAATCAATTTCCCTTCATTTCAAATCAATTCCAAGTGTCATACAAAAAGAAAAAAACTTAGAATCATTTGTTGGGAGGGGGGAAGAGGTTGAATCAGAGCAAAAGACCCATCAAAACGCAAATATTTGTTGAAAGAATGTCCATGAATCAAAATTGCAAAAAAAAGGGAAAAAGAACACCTTGATACATCAAAATCATTCAAAAATATCATCTTGTTTAAAACAAAATTTTATTTAATCAAAAACTTACCGCTTTCAAGTTCTTCAGGGATTGGATCGTTTAGTGAAGAATAAGAAGCCGAAAATATGGGAGAACTGTGGCGTTGTGATCGGATGAGGCGTCGGGTTGTCTGAAATTTGAGAAAAATTGAGAGGAAATGAAAATAAAAGGCATTTTATCGAGTTATATATTGTAAAAGATTTCAATCTGATTATTTATTATGTTATTTTTAAATTTTGAGACTTTCTCTCACTTGATTCAAGTAAACTATTAGAAATTTCAATAGAAAGTTTAATAGAAAGTTTAATGAAAAGTTTAGAAGATAAGATCTTAGGAAGAGGCTTTTAATAAGAGGCTTTACTTTAAAAATGTTGTGATCTTCAAGATTTTTGAGATCAATAAGCTTTTATCAAGGATTTTTTTTAAACATTTACCGATATTTTAAGATATGTCAAAGGGAGATAGAGTTTAGAATCGAAAAAAGAAACATAAAGGTGATAAAAAGCTAAAGAAAAGAGAAGAAGAAGAAGAAGAAGAAGAAGAAGAAGAAGAAGAAGAAGAAGAAGAAGAAGAAGAAGGAAGAAGAAGAAGAAGAGGAAGAAGAAGAAGAAGAAGAAGAAGAAGAGGAAAAGCAAGATCAATAAGGAAATTTCTTGTATTTTCCCTTACAAAATATTCTTCAAATGATTATTTAAAGACAGAGCATTAAAATCGAAGGAATCGAAAAAGAAACATAAAAGGTGAATAAAAAGCTAAAGAAGAAGGAGGAGAAGAAGAGGGAAGAAAGAGAAGAAGAAGAAGAAGAAGAAGAAGAAGAAGAAGAAGAAGAAGAAGAAGAAGAAGAAGAAGAGGAAGAAGAAGAGGAAGAAGAAGAAGAAGAAGAAGAAGAAGAAGAAGAAGAAGAAGAAGAAGAAGAAGAAGAAGAAGAAGAAGAAGAAGAAGGAAGAAGAAGAGGAAGAAGAAGAAGAAGAGGAAATCTTTCAAGTTCAATATAATTTCTTGTATTTTCCCTTACAAACTATTCTTCAAATGATTATTTCAGATCATTCAAATCAAAGAATCGAAAAAAGAAACATAAAAGTGATAAAAAGCTAAAGAAAAGAGAAGAAAAGAGAAGAAAAGAAAAGAAAAGAAAAGAAAAGAGTGATAAGCCGTGAACACGTCGATCGGTTGATCGGTTTGAAAGAAGAAGAAAAAGGAGAAACGAATCGGATTGAGGAAAAGAAAGAGGCAGACAGAGGATTGTTTTTTCAGGCAAATAAGGAAGCGAAGGGGAATGAGTGAAGTGAAAAGAATGGGGGAATGAGGACTAGAAGAACCATTACCTACCAAAATATCGGCAGAAATGATAGAGTTTATTGTTCTATTTAAACTTTATACTTTCTGCTCTCAAAAAAAAATACAAACACAACCTTTCTGGTGCATTCAAGTTCTTATTTTTGTAGCAACAAGTGTTGAGTGCACTAGAAATGCTGTGTTTTCTTTTTTTTTTGAACACAAGAGAAACTCTATGGAAGTTAACGAAAGTTTAAAGCTCGTAAACGCACACAATCTGGCACCACTGATCCAAAAACTGATCCAAAAACTTTCAGTAGTGTAAAGATAATGAGAAGATTGTTTGATCTCCTCTTTCATCCCTTTCATCTAAACGATTCACACGAAGAGATCAAAGGATTGGAAAGAGAGAACCGGTCCTTTCATTCAATCAACACCCATTCCCCTTTTCCATTTCAATCCCTATCACGTCCAATCTTGTCTGAAACCGCTTGGTCCAAAGAAAAAACTTTACTAGGTATAAAAATAGAAATTGAATTGGAAAAGGATTGTAGGGAATGACAAAGAAAATCCCGCTGATGGGATTGAATCCTCGACCTTTCCTTACGGACCTGCTTTACAGGCAGATGCTTTAGCCACTGAGCCATTCCGTACCTGCTTGCAAGAGAAGAAAGAAGAAATAGAATGAGGAAGAGATGGAAATGGAAGTTAACGAAGAAAAAACTTTACTAAGTATACTTGGCAAAAAAAAATGAAATTGAATTGGAAAAGGATTGTAGGGAATGACAAAGAAAATCCCGCTGATGGGATTGAACCCTCGACTTTTCCTTACGGACCTGATTTACAGGCAGATGCTTTAGCCACTGAGCCATTCCGTACCTGCTTGCCAGAGAAGAAAGAAGAAATAGAATGAGGAAGAGAAGAAAATACTCGGCTTTTTACAACTCTTTTCTATCTCCCAAAGACAAAACTTTATTCAAAGTTTACTTCACAAAATAGCGTGAACTGAAATTGAATTGTAAGCAAAAGGATTGTAAAGAGAAAAGTTACTTGAATAGTTTTAGAAAGAAAAGAAGGCAAAGAAATGAACCAGTTAGTAGTAAGCTATTGAAAATAGCTGAAATTACAAAAGAAAAGACAATGCTGTCCACAAGAAATTCCATGAAGAGTGGAAAAAATGGGGGAAAGAGTTGAAAGAGTTGAAAGAGAGAAGAGAGAAGAGAGAAGGAAAAGAGGAACCGATTTTAACCGATTCTAGTCCTTCCTCACTTCTCTCCCCTTTGAAGTGTTTTTTGTGTATAGGATTCCCACGAGTTCTTTTTCTTTTTCTTTTCTTTTCTTTTCTTTTCTTGTCTCACCCCCAATCGGCACCAATTCCTACACGATTTTCGATGTTTTTCTCAAAGTCGAGTATTTTATAGAGACGTTTTGTGACCAGTGCTTTCAATCAAATTAGAGACAGCTCATGAAAAGGAAAACAAAAATTGTTGAACAATATTTCCTCGATTGTTAAAAGAATCGAGAAAATGTGTTTCGAAATAGAAAGATTTTAGAGAAAAAAAAACAAAAGCAAAATAACAAAATTTAAAGAATTGTAAAGGCAAAGAATGGGACTTTAATGCGATTGAATTTTGATTTCTGAGATTTTGGGCTAACGATTCGATTCTATTTTCTATTTACCGTATTTTCTCTAATAGTAGTGTGCCCCGTCGAGCCGAGTTGATGACTATTTTTCGGTTTCCAAGCTTTTGCAGAAGCTCAAGACTCAAATCCCTCACAAGATCTCATTGTCAGCTACATTTTCCAGCCCCACATCAATAGGTTCTGCTAAGTGGTTCTCGAGATTTCGAGGAATTTAGGCGACGCTCATGGTGGACTACCATTAGAGAAAATACGGTAAGAATAAAAAGTAAGCCTATTTATCGAAAATGAACAATATTGAAACTTATCGATATCGATCATATATGAATACCAAACCATATAACTATATTCAAAAAAAAAAAAAAAAAAAAAGATAAATTATTTTCTTTTACTTCCTCGGTACCAGGGTTTCCAACCCTACACTTCGCGAAAAAAAGGGGGGTGGGGGATTGTAGGGGTACTCTCTTCCTGTGGTGATAAAAATGGAGGTACGGTTTAATAAAAAGCCTTCTTTGATAAGAGAAGGAAAAATTTTTTGTTTACTTTAAAAGTGTAATTCTTTGGAAGGATATGCGAAAGGGCTGTCGTTATTAAAACCTATCGATATCGGACTTTGAAATACGGTTTTCTTGTCAAATATCTACAATTTTTATTTCTTAAAACAATAAATTATCTTTCTATTAATACAAACTAAAATTTAAAAACGCTTTTATTTGAATTTGATGTCGATAAATTTCGATAAGTTTCGATATCGATCAAAATTTCGAAAAACAATTTTATTCAAAAGTTTCAAAAAGTCCTTAAAGAGGTTTAGAGAATAAAATTATTCTATAAGAGAATAATTCTATAAGAGAATAATTCTATAAGAGAATAATTCTATAAGAGAATAATTCCATAAGAGAATAATTCTATAAGAGAATAATTCTATTATTCTAATTATTCTTTATTTGAAGACTATATTTAAAGATAAATTAAAATATTGAGGCCAATGTGGGGAAAAAGAAAAATAATAACTCTGGGTGAATTGAGGGATGATCCGGGGACGATTTCGGGGGTAGAGAAGGGTGAAATCTCCCGATTCCTTTTCATCGCTCACCTCCAATTGTTGTGTTGTGTGTGGGGGTTGGTTGGTTCGTTCGTTGGTTCGTTGGAAAGAGGAGAAAGGGTGGCAGGTGGTGCCTACGATTTCTCATGGTACCATTCACAAAAAGAAGAAATGAAAGAAGGGGAAAGAAGGGAAAGAAGGGAAAGAAAAAAAGAAGAACATGAGTAATTGCTCGAGACGAGACCTTCTCTTTTACTCTTTGAACAATTTGAGTTTCCGCAATCATTTTTTCAGGTCAAGTCAAGCTTCAGCTTCTGATTTGATCAAGCATGACTTGAGTTGACTTGGGTTGGCTTGAGTTGGCTTGGCATGGCTTGGGTTGGCTTGTCTTATTTGTCTTGGCTTTGGTTGGCTTTACTTGGCTTGGATTTGCTTGAGTTGGCTTGGCATGGCTTGGGTTGGCTTGTCTTATTTGTCTTGGCTTGGCATGGCTTGGGTTGGCTTGTCTTATTTGTCTTGGCTTGGCATGGCTTGGGTTGGCTTGTCTTATTTGTCTTGGCTTTGGTTGGCTTTACTTGGCTTGGATTAACTTGGCTTGGCTTGGCATGACTTGACTTGGTTTGCCTTCTATTGATTGATTGGTCAAGTTTTTAAAAAAATTCTAAACCCGAGATTGTTTCGATTTGAAGAAATATTTGATAAAAAGCTAGATTGATTGCTTTTCGTCACAAAATTCTTAAAAGCTATAATATTAGAAATATGAAAATGATCAAATGAAAGCTATTTGCATAATTTGACGACTTTTTTGAGGTAACTCGGGTAGAAAAGAGTCTAAATGAGATGGATATAGCAAAAGTTTAGATTCAAAAAGTCAGATGGACCAAATGGTTTTCCAAACGTTATCGAATCGGGTTGATTTGCGCAAAAGTGGAGCCAGGGAAGAGTTGGAAAAGAAGAAAATGGTGCAATTAGTCATGTTCTCCCCTCTTCTGCCCTTTTAGGGAATGACCGCCACATTCCTTTCTTCTCTTTCCCTCCATTAGCCCCTTTTCTTTATTTAGAGATTGTTTATGACTCGTCTCCACCTATAATCCTTAATGAGTTTCCCGTTTATTTCCTTTGTTTTCCTTTTGAAGCTTTCTCCCTTACCGAGTGACCAGTTGATTGACCTGTTTTGATTGTTTGCTGGAAAAAGAAAAGAACAATATGAAAAGAAGAGTTTACATAAATAGAATGATAATAAAGAATGATAATAAAGAATTATAATAAAGAATTATAATAAAGAATTATAATAAAGAATTATAATAAAGAATGATAAAAAAGAATTACAATAAAGTATTACAATAAAGAATTACAATAAAGTATTACAATAAAGTATTACAATAAAGGTTTACAATAAAGTATTACAATAAAGGTTTACAATAAAGGTTTACAATAAAGTATTACAATAAAGTCTTACAATAAAGGTTTAGAGAAACAGATGATTGAGATAAATGAAAATGGAGTTGTTGAAAGAGGGAAAATTTAGGTCAATGAAGTTGAGATGATAGGAGAGAAAGTGATAAAGAACAAAATCAGCAAATTGGAGAAATATTTCAAGCTTTTCAAGGTGTAAAGCTAAAGTTTTCCAAGCTATAAGAACGTTTTCGAAAAGAATATCGATTCGAAAAGAATATCGATTCGAAAAGAATATCGATTCGAAAGAATATCGATTTCTAAAGAAATTCAAAGCTAAAATTCTCATAAAAATCAGCAAATCATCGATGAAATTGTTTGAGTAAACTGGGGGAAATTGGAGAAAGAAAGATGAAAGGTGAGAACATTTGGAAGACATTAATTAGAAGAAAAGAAAAGAAAAGAAAAGAGAAAAAGAGGAAGGTAAAAGAATTTTCATGACAAACCATTTCATTGGTGTGAACACCGTTTCCCTCTTTTCCTTTCTCAAAATGTTACACCATTTGCCTTCTCTCTTTCTCTCAAGAGTTACACCACTATTTTCTTTCGAGCTTTTTCTGAGCAACATATAAATCTTTTTCGAGGGTTAGACGAGCGCAAATTTTGTCTATAAATTCGACTTTTATCTAAATTCTCGACAAATTTGAGAGGAATTTTTTAATCAATCAGCAATGGAAGAGATTTTTGCAATGAACAAAGAGATTAAAGAGCTTTTCTGAGATTTTCGACAAATTTAATAGGATTTAAAAGCATAGTTCCAATCGTTTTTAAACAATAAAATACTAAAAAATGGAAAGCTGTAAAGGATTTGGCTTGTTTTTTTGAGTGCAGACTGTTGGGTGCTTTTTGATGAATTGTTTTTGTTGTTTGCTGATGGATGGATGGTTGATAGACAAACATGACCCCTTTATCTTCTTTTTTCTTTAAGAGATCTGACAGTCTTCTTTGGAAGCTTTTTGAATGTCATTAAGAAGAAAGAAGAAAGAAAGAAGAAAAGAAGAAAGAAGAAAGAAGAAAGAAGGAAAGAAGAAGAAGAAAGAAGAAAGAACAGAATAAAGAATAAATAATACAGAATAAAGAATAAAGAAAAGATTATAAGCATCAATATCGAGGGAGACTTAAGACCAGAAATCGCCAGAAGAAGACGAGCGGCCTGGACGGCACTAGGAAGCATCAAAGAAGTCACAAAGATACTCAAGAATCATCAGAGAACTCGGGCACACCTCTTCGACAGCACTGTCCTCCCGGCACTCTGCTACGGGACAGAGACCTGGGCCACGACACAGACCGCTGAACGGGCCCTGAGAACGACGCATCGAGCCCTTGAAAGGAACCTCTTCGGGTACAATAGGAAGACGCAGCTCGACCAAGACCTAAGAAGTACAGATATGCTCTCTCGGGACTCAGAGATCCAGTGGAAGTGATTGAGAGAAAAAGACTCAGATGGGCCGGCCACGTAGCCAGAAGAACAGACGACAGATAGACGATACGGATCACAGAGTGGCTACCACGAGACCAGAAGAGGCCCATCGGAAGACCAGCAACGAGGTGGAGCACAAGAGTGGCAGAGACGGTCAGAGAAAGGATGGCTAGAGTGCAACCACCACCAGCACTAGCAAGTCGAAGACTTCGAACCAGGAACAATCAAGCTAGGAAACACTGGATGACAATAGCAAGGGATAGAGAAATGTGGAAGCAGGTTGTGATCTGCGCAAAATAGGAACACCTGAGTGCAAAAACAGATCAAAAAAAAAAGAAAAAAGATTTTAAGAGACGAAAGTCACAAAAAACTGAATACTTTTCTGAAATACTGAACGCTTAAACGCGTACTCTCACTTGATTCCTCACCCAAAAATAAAATAAAATAAATTAAGTTCCCAAGATTGAGTAATTTCCCCTAGAAACTCATCAATTTTATAGATTGAAACTTTTAAACCAAAGAAACTTTACCTTGAAAGGGATTGAACAGAACATTTTCACTGAATTAAAAAATATAAATTCTTAGATTCAAAACTATTTGCGAAAATGCTTTTTGTATGGCTCATTGTTTCCATTTAAAACCAAAAAAAAAATAAAACGAAATGAAGGAAACGCGGCGAAAAAATTTGATGAAAACAAAAGGATTGTTGATGGAGAAGATGATGAGGATTCGAGTCTTGAGGTGAATGAAATCAGGATTGCATTTGGTAAGGAAGAAATGCAAGTGAGTGAACAACAGGACATTATAGTAATTTGAAATGTACTTTGGCTTTAGAAATGCTCAGAAATATTGTCGATGGATTCAAGTCGAGAAGTCGAGAATGAGATCAGGCTTGCATTTTGTAAGGAAGAAATCGACGTGAATGAACAACAGAATATTATCGTAATTGGGTAAAGGTTTGAAATGGATTTTGGGTTTAGAAATGTTCAGAAATATTGTAAAAAGATTGTTATTTTGGTTTTTAGATCAAAGGACAAGTTTCTTTTGTGAATACGATGAAATTTGCTTATGCTTTCATCAGATCTTTCACTTTTCTCTTCCAAAAACTTCTCTTCTCTTTCTTTTTTCAATTATTTTATTTGCTTTTTCTTTTTAATATAAATCTTTCAATATAAATCTTTTAATATAGATCTTTTAATATAGATCTTTTAATATGGAACAGATGGTAGTCGGAAGGCGCCAAGTCTGGGCTGTATGGCGGATCAGGCAGGACTTCCCAGCCCATTTCTTCAATTTTCTGCTGGGTGATTTTTGCGACATGCGGCCGAGCGTTGTCGTGGAGGAATTTTGTCGACGCCGTATCCACACCTTGACGTCGCAGCGCCTGGTCCACGTGGTCCAATTGGTCCACGCTCTTTCCAATAGAATAAACTATTTTAAAAAATCTTTTACTGTGAATAAAATACAAATCAACAAACACGACGCTCATTTCTTTTTTACCAACCTAATGCGTGTTCTTGCGCATCGTTTGATATATAATTTGTCTATGTTTACGTTGTTTTTTTACAAGAAAGAGTGTTTAGAAAATGTCGGACCAAAAATTTCGCTTGCGGACCTGCTTGTGATATGAATTTAAGCAAGGCAAATCGGCTGCTGAAGCTCATCGCGCTCTATCTCAAGTGTTTGACGAAGATGTTCTATCCGAAAGTCAGTGTAAACGATGGTTCCAGCGCTTCCGAGACGGCGACGAAAGCTTGGAAGACCAAAAACACGGGAGTCGACCTCAAATCATCGACAACGACGCATTGAAGGAAGCCATTGAGTCGGATCCACGCCAAACCACTCCCTACCTGGCAGAACAGTTCGGCTGCACTCATGTCACCATTGAGAACCATCTGCATGGCATGGGCAAGACGAATAGATGCGGAAAATGGGTACCGCATAAGCTATCCGACGCAAACAAGGCGACACGCATCGCAATCGCCGGAATTCTCACTCACCGCGCCAAGAACAGTGGGTTTTTCGACTCCATTGTTACGTCGGATGAGAAGTGGATCCAATACGACAACACAGCAAGAAAGCGGCAGTGGTTGGAGCCCGGTGAAGCTCCAAAACCGGACATCCACGGAAAAAAGGTGATGCTTTGTGTTTGGTGGAACAGTAAAGGCCTCGTGTACTTTGAGGTTCTGGATTCGGGTCAAACAGTTACGGCGAACCTCTACCAAGGCCAATTGGACCACGTGGACCAGGCGCTGCGACGTCAAGGTGTGGATACGGCGTCGACAAAATTCCTCCACGACAAAGCTCGGCCGCATGTCGCAAAATTCACCCAGCAGAAAATTGAAGAAATGGGCTGGGAAGTCCTGCCTCATCCGCCATACAGCCCAGACTTGGCGCCTTCCGACTACCATCTGTTCCGATCAATGCACCACTCCTTGGCCGAGAGAAAGTTCAAGAACCGCGACGAGGTCCAAATTTGGGTGTCCAACTTTTTCGAGTCGCAGCCGGTCGAGTTCTTCAAGAAGGGCATCCATTCTCTGCGTGAACGTTGGCGACAAGTCATTGATGCAGTTGGCGAATACCTTTTGGATTAATGTATTGTTATCTTTTTTATGAAAAAAAATAAACTTTTAACGAAAACGCGCATTTCTTTTTTACCAACCTAATAGAAACAAAAAAATACATTTAAAACAAGTTAAAGAATCATTGGTACACAAGCAATTCGAATTGTTTTGTAGGAAAGTTGAGTGGATGAGGAGAAGTCCTCTCATTTCTCATCATCTTTCTTCCATTTTTAATCTCAAAATTATTCATTCTACAAGTGGTTTATTGCCGATCCATGAAATTTCCTTTTAAACAATTCTTGACCACTTTTCATTCGTTAATCAAAAAAGCAAAACAAGACTACAAATCTCAATCAATTCTTGTGCGTATTTTCTCATTGTCACGCAACTCTTCCGTTTTCTCAATTCAGCCAAAAACAAGACTAAAATTTCTTAGCTGATCAAAGAGTTTGTTGCTTTTTTTTGTTGAATCTAGAAGGTTAATAAGGAATTTTTGGGTTTAAATCATCGATCGATTCACTGCTACAAGATTGCATAAATGCCAAAGAACAAACAAACAAAAAACAACAATGAAACAAATCCTTTGATCCTTTGAAACCCCTTTTTTTTAAAACAAACATATCCTTGATTCTTTATAAACTTTTGCATTTGATTCTAGTGATTCTATTAGGGTGGTGCAAAAGAAACTGCCGATGGGTATCAGCTCTCATTTATCAGAAATGAGCGATGCGAACGGCATCATTTTGTTTATGTTTTGTTCGCATATTTGTTTGCTATTTATTTCGACATTTCAATTTTTTGGTTGTTGTTTATTTTATTTAAAAATGCTTATATTTTTTATTTAGATCATGGTCGAGGAAAAGTTTGTGCTACGAGCAGCATTACTGTTTAACTTCAAAATTGGAAAGTCTGCTGCCGAATCGCATCGTTGTCTCGCAAGGAACGAAAAGAGAAAAGAGGACTAAATTTGTAGAGAAAAGGAACCAAGTCTGCTGCCGAATCGCATCGTTCTCTCTGTGCTGCTTTCGGAGATGGCAGTTTGTCTCTCAGGCAGTGTCAGACTTGGTTTCAACGATTCCGAGAGGGAAACGAGGCTTTGGAAGATTACGAGCACGGTTCGAGGCCAGAAGTCGTGAACGAAGCCAAGCTGAGGGACGTTATTCAGGCCGATCCATGCCAATCTGCTCGAGATCTTGCGAAAATATTCCATTGTGATCCTGTCACCATCGAATGCCATCTTTTTTTTGAATTTACCGTCAAATCGGCAGTTTCTTTTGCACCACCCTAATAGATTTGACTTTGATCTAGCGTTGACTTTGATCTAGATTTGCCTTTGATCTAGCATTGACTTTGATCTAGCATTGACTTTGATCTAGATTTGACTTTGATCTAGCATTGACTTTGATCTAGATTTGACTTTGATCTAGCATTGACTTTGATCTAGATTTGCCTTTGATCTAGCATTGACTTTGATCTAGATTTGACTTTGATCAAGATCTGAGCTCAAAAATTCCACTCTATGTATGTTTTTTTTAGATTTACCGTCAAATCGGCAGTTTCTTTTGCACCCTAATATTTTGAAGTTGAAAATCTCCAAAAACGAGAATAGTGAACGCTAATTTTACCTTATGAAATTGAATCTGAAAATCGTTAGAGAAAATGTGAATAAATTGATGCAAAATGAGATTTCTTTCTTTTCTTTTCCTATTTTTTTCCCTTTTTTTCCCCTTTTTTCTCTCATTATTCACCTCGACTTCTTCCAATTTGTGAATATGGGAACAGAAGAAAGAGATTGGAGAAGATTTCTGACATTGTTCTCCTTTTTCCTTTTCTTTTAACTTCTTCTTTCAACTCAAGATATTCGTTTTTTTTGCTTCTCAATGTAATTTCGTTGTCTCTTTTTTTTTCCTTCTGATTTCACGCCGATTCTTCTTCAAGTTCTCTACTCCTTTTCTTCTCAAAAATCACCGCCTAGAGACAACAATCCGTTTCCCCCGTTTCTCCATTTCTTTCCTTTGTCTCTTTCAGCATTTTTAAATAAGATTCTCGAATTCTAGCAAGTTGTTATTGTTATTCGAGTTATTGGTAAAGTCATCAGCTTTTTAAAAGAATTTCGTTATTTCTAATTGCAATTTCTGAGTCTCAAGTTTGTTTTAAAAGTTTCTAATGTAAATTAAAAAGCTTCTAATGCAAAAAGCTTCTTCTAAAGGAATTAGGGTAGATCAAAACTTGTGTGCCGCCGGGACTCGAACCCACGCCACGACCTTCCCCACAACTGTGCTAACCATTACACCATAAGGCAGCTGGGATCCAAGGTTCCCGAGGGAGTTAAGTTAATCAAGTCCTGAGCTCTATCTATAAGGGCTTACGTGCCTTAAAGATAGAGCTCAGTTGGGACAAAATCACCGCCTAGAGACAACAATCCGTTTTTTTTCCCCATTTCTTTCCTTTGTTTCTTTCAGCATTTTAAAATAAGATTCTCGAATTCTAGCAAGTTGTTATTGTTACTCGAGTTATTGGTCAACTCGTTCGTTAAAGTCATCAGTCATCAGCTTTTTAAAAGATTTTCGTTATTTCTAATTGCAATTTCTGAGTCTCAAGGTTGTTTTAAAAGTTTCTAATGTAAATTAAAAAGCTTCTAACGCAAAAAGCTTCTATTCTAAAGCATAGGAACTAGGGTAGATCAAAAGATTTGGATTTGGATCAAAAGATCAAAATCGGCAGATCAAAAGCTCGGCGCTGCCGAGACCCGAACTGTAGTCCCTAGCTCTAGCTTACCGACCTCTAGCTAGAGAAAGTACCACTGTAGTTGGCAGATCAAAAAATGTACTCAAACCCGCGACCTCTAGCTTACCGGACAACTGTGCTAGCCTCTAGCTAGAGAAAGTACCACTGTAGTTCTATCTATAAAGATAAGTTAATCAAGTCCTGACTTACAGGACTTGATTAACTTATCTTTATAGATAGAGCTCAGTTGGGACAAACTATGT